AAAAAAAAAAAAAAAACCAGCCAGTCCCTAAAGCATGAACTATCTGAAGCAGGAACTTCACCTGCTCTTAAGTGAATCAATAAATTATGGCTTCAAAAATACATATAGGTAAAATTTCTTAAGAATTAAGGACTTGGAGTGTCTGAGGATATGTGTGTGGTAATAAAGCTGAGAGTTGAATGACTTTTAAAAAGTATTTTTAGGGGCCCCTGGGTGGCTCGGTCAGTTAAGCGACTGCCTTCAGCTCAGGTCATGATCTCAGGGTCGGATGGAGCCCAACATCAGGCTCCCTGCTCAGCAGGGAACCTTCTTCTCCCTCTCCCTCTGCTGCTCCTCCTACTTGTGCTCTCTCGCTCTCTCTCTGTCAAATAAATAAAAATAAAATCTTAAATATTTTTAGGTATTTTTACCTAAACATAATCAAAGTAAGGTTAAAATTGAGTTAGCCCAAACAAGACTAGTTCTGAGAGCTTTAGTGACTGCTACTCTTTATTGATCATTTACTCTGTGTCTGGGGCTCTGCTAAGCTCCTAACATGCATTAGCTGATCTGATCCTTCCAAAAGCTTTGAGAGTCACTCTTAAACACCCATCTTTCAAGTTAAGACAGACATATGTGGGTTTGAAACCAGGTAGGTCAGACTCCACAGTCCCAGCTCATGAGGCTTACACAGAACACCTTGGCAAGTGGAACTGGGGCAAATGTAAGGAGTGAAGGGAGAGGGGGCAGGCTTACAGCAAGTGATGGTCAGGAAAGAGAGACTAAGCTTTCTCCCTGTTTGTGGTTAGAGGAGTGACAGTTTTCGGTAGTGGAATAGAATTGTTTAGATTTGCAGTTAAATGATTTGTTTTAAGCAGATAGATCCATGCATGTGACTATAACACATAGGTAAAATGACCTCTAGCACAGAATGACAGAGCCCCAGCCAGTCAGCCCCTTGGTTCCAGAGGTACTCACTTTGAACCATTTCTGGATTTAGCTATGAAAAAGTTACAAAAGGTGGCTTATCTTTTCTGCCACACAGACTACCTTTTTGCTCTCTGTTCTGTTAGTTTCTTAACTTAATCTTCCAATCTTTTTAATTTTGGCAATCCACTTTTAATTTCCAGAAGATTTTACAACCTGCTGTTTTTGGTTTTATGGATGTAATATCTTCTCAAATCTCACTGAGGGGGCGCCTGGGTGGTTCAGTCAGTTAAGCGGCTGCCTTCGGCTCAGGTCATGATCCTTGGGTCCTGGGATCGAGCCCCACATCCGGCTCCCTGCTCAGCAGAGAGCCTGCTTCTCCCTCTCCCTCTGCCTGCCTACTTGTGCTCTCTCTTTCTCTGTCAAATAAATAAATAAAATCTTTAAAAAAAAAAATCTCACTGAGAATCTAATTAGAATTTTTTAAAGTCTTTTTTTCTACAGGAGGGGAAGAATGAAGGGGGAAATCGGAGGGGGAAACGAACCATGAGAGACGA